CAAAACGCACAGACGATGTTTACAATATTTACAATATTTACAATGGTTTCGATTGCTTGATGCGTGATACGACGCAAAAAAAGCAGCAGCAGCATCAGCAGCTTCGATACTCGCATGCACCTCGAGTGGTGCGATAGTGGTTGCCTCCGATCTGTGCTAACATTTTATTTTCTGATCCGTTTTCACTGTTACATATTTTCGCTCTTGATATATGGCAATTTTTCATGTGTGCCGCCGATATTCTGGTTTCACTTCTGCTTGCCTCCATTTCAGTGGTGCGCTGCAAAACAACTTCTTTTTTGTTGCCATTGCTTGTTGCTGCTTTTCTTGCCTGTTAGCCATTGCTTGAGATTATAATTTATATTTATAAAATTATTACTAATTTGAATGGCTTACAGTTCAATTAAGATGTGGTACACACAAAGGCGTTGTGTAACGGTACACATCGCGCGGCTACACGCATATAAAAACATACTGCGGGTTAATGGTGAAAACAACACGAAAAAACAAAAACAAAATGAGTTTGCAGCGCGTATTCAATCATCCGGTGTGCAAAAGCAGATTATTTGGATTGGCGAGAGAGTGATCTGATTGTATCGGTGTGTGAACCGATGACTGAATAACACACATCATCAGTTGCATTCTTGCTTATTTTCTCTACTCGAAACAACAACAACAACAACAGCACTGAGCAACAACGTTGCACGGTGTGTCTGAAATCAAAGTGGCGTTGCCCGTCTGCATAATCGATCGATCTGTGCGTAAATTTAAGGGAAATAGAAGACAACTTCTTGCGGTTTTGCTTGTATGCCTGCAATTGACTCCATATAAAAATGGGATTATTTTCATAGCGAGACAACAAAATTGATCAATGTGAATATATACATGCATGCTCATATGTGAGGCGCAGACATTATGTTCGCATTTGAATTTGAAATTGCATCAGTTTTACGTAATGCAAATGCAAGCATATCTTCTGCGTGAACATTTAAAATATGCCATACATACAATATGGCATGAGGCGAACGAGTTTGGCGCGGAAAACCGTATTTACAATGGGAAGAAGATTTCACATTAAAAGGTCATGCAAAAAACTAGGAGTCGTCTTCATATTAGATTTATCGAGGAAAAAAAAATGCTTTTCAGCCGAGCCAATATCTAGTCGAAAGTTAAAATCTGAAGCGCGGAAAAAAAACGCAAACAAAACAAAACAAAGCATTGCAATTAAAAACTGAAGGTATGAAAAGAAATCCAATTTTGAAAACACGCGCCGAGACTTGAATGCAAATTTATTTGTTCAACATTGGTACAAAAGGCTGGAAAACAAATGGTAACAATAGCAACAATGCGCAACGAGATCGAAGAAAAACAATAATCAACCAGACATCGTTAACGGTGAAGATCTCGCCATATACACACACACACACACACACACCGAAAGACACGAAAAAGGCCCAAATGAAATCGATTATTATTGTTGTTATTAGTCAATCGATTGTGGCCCGTGGTACATTGATGTTTATTGTTTTCCAGCGCGAGCGTATTGAATTACCGGGGAGCACACCAAACACAGACAATACGGATCGCAACGACTGTCGGATCTCAGTTTAGTTTGGTTTGGTTTGCTATATGGTTTACATTGGCCTGGTGTGTACAAAAATACGTGAATGATCGATGGATCGATTGTAATTGCTAAGTGTCGAACTGAGACTCGTATGCGTCGCTTTATATCGCGCATTCAATTGTATACCATTAAAATTTGGCTGGCTGGCTGGCTGGCTGCACGCGCACACGACAGCACACACAATCATACCTGTCGAAGTAACCATGTTCCATTGGATGATAGTTCACAAGTTGTACAGAATATAATGGCAAGAAAATAGCTGAAGACGAGAAAAAAAGCACACGCGATTCGGGCACACGTTTCCAAACCGATCAGTGTTCAAGTTAATTGTATACTAAGAGACTGAGATTTGTGATCTTGGCTGGTATGTGGGTATGTCTTCATTGAAATGGAAAAATTGCATTGGTATTTTGGATGGTGCGTTAAATTTTTTGCGACCACATTTGAACAACGATTTTCAAATCATTTTCGTACAGCTCAAGAATAAAGTGCTGCGCAATTCGAAAAACTATCGTTTTGAATTTCCCTTTGTTGAAATCGAAACAAAAATGATGCACTGAGTAAACATGGTGGTTGCAAAAGACGCTATTGCTACCATTTTATTGCACCGTGCGCGCACTGATGATATGCCCGTTCTGTTGGCTCGTAATTGGCTCTTTTATTTCTTACTATTGACTTATATAATAGAATCTACGGATTGGTTCAGAAAAAGTGAAAACAACATGATAAACGATGATCAAGTAGCAGTGTTCAATCGTATTAGGCAATGGAGAGCAAGATTTTCAGAAGAAGCCGAAAGACCTTTAATTAAATGATTTACGGCAATCTCCGTCACTCCATTTGAAACTTGATTTGCTCGCGTTCATTGATGACCTGATAAATTCATACCAAATCGGTACTCGATACATGCACACAGACACAGAGAGACAGGGACACCGGTCTTTCCAAGCATATGGCACTGCTTGCGAGTAGAAAAGAAACGGTAAATCAATTGTATGGGATTTGCGCACTCGATTCAAATAAAAACACACAGCTCTTCATTCAAAACAAAATGTGGCGAAAGTCGTCCATTATACAAGATGCGCCGCTCACTATGTCTGTGCACCAGTTTTTGGTTGTCATCAGAAAATATGCGGACGGAATGTTAATTAATCAAAAATGCCTTAAATGTTGGGTCCACAGAAGAAGAAGAAGGAGAAGAAAAAAGACACAAATGAGAAGTGTGCTTGTTCTGTCAGCTACCATCGAGAGCACTCAGCAAAACAATCCCATGCACTGAAACCATAATTTGGAACACAAAAGAATTCCTCGAAGAAAAAAAAAGTTCAGCTACGTCGAGCTATGTGAGAAAAATGCACATTGAATCAGATCCACACACAAAAAAAGGGAACTGAAACGATTTTAAAAACATGTCCGATTTTCATTAAAAATGAAAGCAAACGCCACCTCAGAAAATCACATGACAAAACCAGATTGAAGTGGAAAAGTGAAGAGAAGAGAAACGATGCAAAAATCGCTGAAACAACTAAATAAAATAAAATAATTTCCAACAAATGTGCGAATAATTGTGATGATGAACGTTTTATACAATGATGACTGTACATGAGACAAAAGTCCGGCGGCACTTTCTTGGTACTCGCTCCGAGAATTTGTTCGAGAGCGAGAGAATCTGGACGAAAAGAAAAAAATATAATTAAAAAAATGAAACCATTAAAATTTTGCCTGAAGTCGCATCACATATCCAAACGCACCGAGGGCGAAGTGTATCATGGTTTCGAACACATTTAACTTATCTTTTATTTCTCGAATAATATGCGCGCAAAACACCGAAACCAGACAAGAAAAGCCCGATGTGAGAAGTGAGGCGATTTCGAAAGAAGCCGTGATAAGTGCACATGGAAAGAGGTGTAATCAAAGGTGCCAACAAAATCATTGTACGTAAATGAACTCGCCGATTCATATGCACATTTCATTTTTATTTGCTCAACACAATTGTTTATTTCTTTATTATTTTTTTATGATCTTTTAAACATTTGGGTAAGAGAAAAAAAAGATGCCATAGTGTAAGCGAACGAAGAAGAAAAAAAATCGCCATCGGTATTCTTGAACACACCATTAAATTTTCATCTTTTTTTCGACTCTTTGTTGCGTTCTGATATTTTCACAAATTGTAGTGGTTTGCATTTCGGAGTGAAATTTTGAATTATTTGGTGAGTTTCAAACAGGTCCACTTGGCTTTGGTTTCAAGCGGCACAATACGTACGAAAAATTTCACGAATAACCTTTGACTCGCTGCAATGAATATCAATTGTTTGCGGAACTCAAAGCGATCGTTTTCATCACATTTCTTCATTCACTAAAACGCCCAGTTGAACAAAAAAAGAGATGCTCGTTGATGGGAATTCATAATTCGATATATGGGATTTGTTTCCATACGAAAAAAAATTGATCCGTTCTCGAAAAAAGATGTTTTTTTTTTCTTTCTTTCGCTCTCTTGCTCGGTCGAAAGTACCAAATTTCATTCCATCTTTTGTTTAAACGGTTTTAGAGATCTTTGTAATTAAATTAAAACGACCAAGGAAAAATTGCGATCATTATCACTGGAAAGCCATGGTTAATTAATGCAGAGAACGCATTCGCCGGAACATTTTCATTCGTTTCTCGACTCTCCATATTTGGTTTATTTCCATTCTTATCGCCTGGCGATTCTATACTTAAGCCGATGTGTATATTTATATTTATGTTTTTATTTTAAGCTTCGCTGAGGGAGAGAGAGAGAGATCTCATCATTAAAGAAAGTACAGCGAGCGCGCGTTATTGAGAATAATTTTAAAGCAATTTACACGCGGAAAATCGCCAATTGGAATATGGTTTCAGTCAGTCTTTATCGTTTTTTTATCTAATTTTTGCATCAGACACTGGAAAGCTTACAAGAATAATTATTGAATTCCCCTTGTTGCAGCGAATGTGCGATGCGTGCTGTGTAATGTATATGCGTGAATTTCGGGTTATTTTTGGAATAATAATCCGTATTGACGTGGAATAATAATCCGTATTCGAGCAGAAGAGACAACAACCGAAAAAAGCTTGTTTTAATTTATTGGCGTATGGATTTTACGCAAACGGCTGCGTCTTATCAGTGGATTGGACATAAAAAGATAAACGATTTGTTTTCATTTATAAATTTCTACTGATGCCTTTCCATTCCTTTAGTGGGCACTCATCACCATTCCGGTTCGATAGTGTAAAGTTTTTATTATTTTATTTCGTCGTTTCGGTTCGGTGTAACAGAGAGAGGCAGAGGGAGAGAATTCGTTCTTTTTCGATACGTTCGACCGAAGATTTTATTATGCCAAATGTAATGTGTAATGCTTACCATTTAATTTTTATCATTTCGTTGATCATATTTCAATTAAAATTCGTTTAATTTTCACTTTGTAAGAATGGGCATGCGTTGAATGCGAATATGAGCGTCCAGTATTTGTTGGGCCCAGCCGAGTGAAAATGTTCAATTATCAGCGATGTCGATTGTAAGTAAGACCACGAACAGGAGAGATGCAGAAAAAAAATGTACACATCAACGGGTTTAATGCTTTGTTCCAGTTGCACAATACTGCCTCGCCGCTGCGTGGTTGTTGTCCGATAAATCTGCAAGGCGAAAAGATAAAATGAAATCGCAATTAATTTCCATTTAGATTAAAAAATGCTGTAATGATTATTATGTTTTTCGTAAATCCAATTACTACTCGGATACGGAGCAATTTTTTGCTTTTGTTTTGTGTTTTGAAAGCTGTTGGCTCCACCAAAGAGCTGATTTATGAAAATGAACACACAATATTTTCGTGAAATCCGATGGAAATCGGTTCCTTTTTTCACGCCCCCTTCAGCCTGAATGCACCATAAAATTTTATTTATGATTTTCCATTCGACGCTCATCGACAATTAATACATTTTACAACTTATTTTGGAAAATGGACTGAACCCACCACGTTCCGTTGGTCGAAATCGTCGAAAAATTGTGTCCGGCTATTCGAATAGCTGTGACATATGACAAGAAGACAGCAGCAGCAACAACAACGGTTCGCTTAGAGGCTCAGCCTAAACAACAGCCATAGCGCACAATAGCAATGCGAACGGCCATAATTTCTTCGATTTGAACACAGAAAACTGTGTGGGCCTCGGCGTTTAATTCGAACACGGAGCAAACACTCTTCAACGATCCATTGTTCGCTGGTCTAAACTCTCTCTCTCTCTCTCTCTCTCTCTCTCTCTCTCTCTCTCTCATCTCGCATTCGAGTGCCAGCTCTAATGGCAGGCTAAAATACCGATCAGAATCAATTATGCAAAATTGCGCTGGGACACACACTGCGTGCGTAGGCGGATCGCTAAATTAGCATGACATCGTGTGCCGTGTTAGCTATTGCATTTTAAATGAAAGACAAAAAATATGCTCGACGTCTCTCGAAAGCGCAAATGTGCGCTACAAATGATTCTGATATGTGGGGCTACAAAATCAATTACGCAGTGGAACCATGTAGTGAAGGAAAAGTGATAAAATTGCTTTATTTTCACTTAGATCGAATGTGCATTGTGCACTCGTGACATGTATACGGGATGGAGTATTGGATCAATTCGGCCGCTATCAAGAGATGATTGCTCCATTAAAAATTTTGATGCTTTCAATTGATTTTTTAATGATTTTTCGCATTATTCTCTTTTGTTATCTCATTGTTTTGCCTAGATATGCCACAGTTTATGGCACACTTTATGCCTGTGTATTTTGAATAAATTTATGTGTGGATTTCAAAACACCGCAATTATATCAGCCACAGATGTCTTCGTGTATTGATAAATTTGTTTCTAAAGCGTTCGATGTGCTTTACCACATTCATCGGCTCACCATCGCCGATCACCGTTTTTTTTTGCATAAAAGAACAATGATTAATGAAATATTTACAGGCCCATTAAATTCGAAGCCATTACACCAAATATGTTATTTACGGTATAAATAATAAACATTTCAACTATTTCAATTTTTGTGTCGTAATGTGTTTTGTTGTCGTTGTCATCGTCATCAGTGCACGAGCTAGCGCGTGTGTGCAATGGATGGTCGCTGATCCTCTATTGTGCATACTAAACGGAGCGCTCCGCAACAATATCCATAAAAATTGTTTCAATTTTTCCCCCTCGCCGAATGAATGTGCAGACAGTAATTTGAATGTTGTGGTTTTTCGTTTTGTCGGTTCCACTCATTCTCGTTATATACGAAATAAAACTTCATGTCATTTGTCTATCGTTTAGTTCACTCCTTAATCGTGGATTTGGCTGCATGTCATTGCCAATACTCTCTGTGCAATTGTGCTCACACACAACATAACAAAACACCAGGAGAAGAAGACGACGACGACGACGACGATGAAAAAAAGAACGGTGCTGTTAAATCAGAAGTTGAAAATATGTCTGCGGTGAGTTTGTGTTTACCGGGGAAGGCATTAAATGTTTATGGTAAACTGTAATTGAAGATGATATATTATGCACTTGGTGTTGAATGCTCAAACGTTTTAATTTTTTTTTATGAATGAAATGTGTGTGCGCGCGGAACAGCATTGAATTCATGGTGCATGAAATCAATGATTTTACAACGGCCAAACACTTTACCTCGCACATGAATGTTCCACAACGGGCGAGAGTGGCAAAAAATGCCGCTTGATATATGTCTATACGTGCATGTGTGTCTAACGTATGCTGATGATGATAGGACGTGGGAGACTCCATAAAATCTGGCAAAATACGATTGCGCGCGGGCTTTTATGGCAGAGCAGTGTGGCTTTTTTCTCCTCTTCTAAATTGTCTTTACTATTTTCGCTACTCTTGCAATTTCACTCTGGTGCAAGCGCATCGAATTCCCTTACACTCAACGTGGTACTAGTTTCGCATCAGTTTTACGGTGCATTTTTATAATGCCTCTTCCTATGTTTTGACCGTATTTTTTCCCTTCATAAAATTCATGATTGAAACGATTTTCTTTTTTTTTGCTGGTATGTGTGTGTGTGTGTGCCTTGTTCACGCAGTTGTTGGTACAACCCGCTTACAAGTCTATTGTGTGCGCTCGATTGCTCTTTGTACGTAAGCTTGTGACCAACGACAGAGTGAAAAATTAATGACTTTAAATGAAATGTCCGACGGATTCTTGTTTTAAAAAATGTTTCCTCGCAAAATGATTACACCACAGAAGCTCTGCGCCGTGCGCACTTTGCTCCAAACAATTCACAAAAGATTGACAGAAACGATGGATGAATCTGAAGAGAGTCGCGGAAACGAAGATACCACCAGCAGCAGCAGCAGCAACAGAAACAACAACAACAACAAAGCCAAAGAAAAAAAAAACAAATCAAAAGTTATGAAAAATGACATGTGAGATGTGTGTACACGCTGCCAAAAAGGAACAACTAAGAATTATGGAACAATAAAATGATGAATGTTTAAGTAAATCATAGGAATTGAGCTCGCACTCAGCTCGGATGAGCGAGAAAAGGTACAACAAAATTCGAAATATGCAGTCACAAAATGCGCAAAACTCTGCGGCAGAGAGAAATCAGAGTGCTAAAATGAAAAGCAAGAGAGAGAGAGAGAGAAAGATAAAATGGGGGAAAAGCAGCGACATCGAAAATCATTGCAGAAGTCTTTTAACATGACGTTGAATGAATGAATTTATAATATGTAATAATGCTAGGCAGTTATCGTTGCTTCGCGCTCGACTTTTGACAGCAAAGTGAAAGAGATTGTTCACATAAATTCCACACACACAAACATTGTATGCTCAGCTCATGGAACTCAAAAGTCCGGGAATGTTGATTCCTCGGTATGATAATGTTCAATTACATATCAAAACCAAACCAAACCAAAAAAAATGACGAGGTCACTTCAGAATAGTTTTGATTTCTCTTCTGTAAAATCGCCTCAATTCAAGTGGAAATGAGCATCAGCCGATTTCCCATCCCGTCGATTAAATAGTACTTGAAAGTGCACTAATTAAACGTAGAGATCGAGAGAGAGAGAATACCGTTTCCAAGTGCCATGGAATGCGTGTGCGTATACGAGTTTGTCTGCCCGGCTGGTATGCGCAGACTTCATATATGAAATATGATTGTGTCGCACTAATGCGACAACCGCAACCACAATTATGATTACTTATTATGATTATATTTGCAAAATGTTTTAGGTGTTGCATTTAATTGTCATGTAATTATGTCATGTATCTTGGCGAGTTATCTGTTTCGACTTTGATTTCGCGGTCTGTGTATGATGGTTTTGTTTGCTGTCTTCCTACTGCTTCTTTCATCCATGCTCATGAGCGTAGCATTGGCTTGGCTTGACTCTGTGCTTTTTTCTCTTTTTTTTTTAAATTTTTTCGCTGCTCGCATAGATGTGCGTTTGAATAAAACGAATGATGACGGTGACAACGACGACAGCCGGTGTAAAACATCAACATCGATTTGCATTCATGATAACAACAACACTGTGCAGTTTACGTGTCCACCGTCTAATCATTCTTCTGCTGCTGAGGCTGTGGCTTAAATCACCTTCTTCTCGGCTATCGCGTTTCTTTTGTCCGGTATTTCTGCGTGCATCGACGACTTCGTCATAAAATTCATGCCAACAGATGATCAACGTGCCGCACAAAGAAAATGCAAACATGGCAAAACAATCACAGACTTATACCACGTCCGACATATAATTTTATTATAACATTTATTAGTCATTAATTAAGTGAAAGATGGGAAAAAATATATGCAGCACCATCACTGCGATTATGCGAATTTTTGATCTGGCATCGTCACATCGGCGATGTCGTTTCGATTCGACGTGAAACAATAATTTGCAATAGATGCTACTTGTTCTATTTGATCCGTCCATAAACAAGGTGATTATTTCTTCATTTTTTTCTGCCAATTTTTCATCTCATTAATTTAAATTGACTGTGTAAAAATAAAAATACGTTGATTCTTAATTTGGGTAAAGTAAACACTGAACATATAAAAATATCTTGAGAAGGTTAATTTTCTGCGTGCGATTCGTGCCACCGACAACGAGCACGGGTCTCCATTAAATATCTTGTGCCGATAAAATATCATACAATTTAATTTGTAGGTTTGTAAGTAGCACTGGCTTCGATTGAGTTGTCTTTTGGTTCGTTCACGAGTACCTTTTTTATCGCTTTATTGCTGTTTACTGTACACTTGTGTTCATATTGTGTAGCAAAACCGTGGTATCTCGTTGAAAGGGGGGAAAAAGAAAGAATTCTCTGAAATTTTATGTCACTTTTTCTACCGTTTTCTCAGACAATTGCGCTAATTTGCGGTTATTTTTGTCGCACGGCTTCTTTTCAACTAGATGTGTGTTTCGGCATAGTGGTTTTTGGCGTTTTTCATATCGCTTAATTAAATGATGAATACTTGTCGATTCAAAATGTCATTCTTCATTGTTATAATCTGTTCATTATTATTTTCTTTCGAACAAAAAAAGCGGTATTGTTGTTGTTTTTTTGTTCCATCTTTCCTCCCAATTTCTCGTTTGGTGAAGATTTGATACACAATTGTGGATTACGCACGGTCCGAAACAGATATAATTCTTTTGTTTACCGATGA